CAACGATATATCCGACGAATTGTTGTTGCCATCGGGCCGGCCCTTTCTAAAATTTCACGAAATTGAACCAGAATTGAACGCCAAGTATTTTAATCGGTTGCTTACATGTTTCCTTTATTAAAAGTCTTTGTTTAAAAATCGATTTTTCGTTGTCTGTGTGTTTCCGCACTTGTTGATATGACGCCATATGGCTTCTATTCGGGCACGGCATTTTGACAATTAAACAAAAATTTTACTCGGATTTTAAATACAGGTTTATTTTCGGATAACCCAATATAAATTTTGGGGAAATATGCGGCGGTGTTGAAAAGTGTCAAGCCTTGTTCGACGCTAAAGTAATGCAGAAATTGCAAGAGATACGAAATTCGTGCGGGGTGAGTAAGACGTATCTGTGCGAAGGTGTCAGTTTCATAACGTATTCGAATTTGATTATTCGTCTGATTTGCGATTGATATTATTTTGCATCTTCTATTGGCAAAATTCCAACTTCATATTATTATAGCAAACATCCGCTAAAATTTATTACATATAAACAGCAGTCGTTAAAAAGATGTAGAATTATGATAATTTGAATATATATATATATATATATATATATATATATATATATATATATATTCACGGATGGAAAAATGTGATGACACTATATTCCGGGATATCATCCGTTCGCTTGTTGAACTCCGACTGGAATCCTGCAGACGTTTCGCCAAAATCTCACTTGGCATCTTCAATGCTCGCTCTCCGAAAACAGTGTTCGAAGTGTTTTCGGAGCGCGAGCATTGAAGATGCCAAGTGAGATTTTGGCGAAACGTCTGCAGGATTCCAGTCGAAGTTCAACAAGCGAACGGATGATATTACGGGATATAGTGTCATCATATATATATATATATATATATATATATATATATATATATATATATATATATATATATATATATATATATATATATATATATATATATATATATATATATATATATATATATATATATATATATATATATATATATATATATATATATATATATATATATATATATATATATATATATATATATATATATATATATAAAGAGATTAAAAAAGAACAATAAAATCAATAAGAAAAGAGACTCAATAATAGGATTACTTTTTTCCAGTAGGAAAAAACAGCCTCAGGTTCTACAGAATCAAAAATTGTAACTAAAATAATTAATCATTATCTAGCGAGGTTCAAACTAGGTGACTAATTTTGAATTTAGTATCTTTACTCATTTCAAAAGTGAGGTATTTTTTTAAAAATTAATTTTCATTTTCATGGTCCATCTTTTTCACAAGTGGCATTTGTTAAATTGTTACATTCATTGAAGAAATATTCCCTTCATTTATTGCATCATTGCACCACCTATTTTATAAATGAATTTTTCTGTTTTTAATTTAATTAACTATTATTAATTAAATTAATTTATTTCTATATTTTATTGATTTATGAATATAAAATGGCTATTTTATTATTCGCGAGAATGTTTTCATAAAAATGATCAACTTTTATTTCTCGACAAAAGATTTTGATATTGCTGCAAAACTTAATTTATCGAAAATCACGTGACTCCATCTTTTTGGGCGAAAGTTGACACCGACATTTCAAGAAAATCATTAATACAAGGTTCTCCTTTCTGAAGGACAATGTATAGGAAAGTGGTTCACAGGTGCAGTTCTATGGACTTTGCTTCTAGCATTGACATTATGTCGAAAAGGAGTTGACAAGTTATGTTAAGTTATAAGTCATAAAATCTTCAAGTGCGGCATTAAAGAAAACTTCTAATATTATTGTTAATACTTATGTAGGTAAATTTTTTGCAATAAAAATATTTTTGATCCTGAATGTAAATCCAATACTATGCTCTGTTTGTTAATGCGAGAGAGTTATACATAATTCTTTAACAGCAAACATAGTGGTCTTCTTAATGTATTCAAATCTCTAAGCATTGATTATTACCAAACAATGTAATTAGCTCAATTATTCATTGGGCCACAATGTAGTTTCTTTGCATACTTAATGACGTATAACAAGATTATATTTTTGTTCGTCCAAATTTTTAATTTTTTGTCAAAAAAAAATCAAAAATTCGTGACAGACCAGACCATAGTGCGATGGGGATTATACCGAACATTCTCTCGTAGAAAATAGAATCCGGAACACTTTGCATTGATGTTAAACGTTAAGAGCATTTAATCCGCTACTATTAACGGTTTCCAAATCGTTTCGAATTTCGAAAAATGTCACGTTTCGCGGCGCGGCATTCCCGCTCGCGCCCACCAGTCAAAATGCGTTTGAAAAATCGCGCTTCGAGGAAATCTTTTTCCTTTCCACAAAAACAGCGCGGCGCGGCGGCCAAAACGCGTCAAAAATGCGGAAGTTGTTAAAGCCGGGCTTGTCGCGCAACTACAACTATTTCGGTATGGCGTTTTGTTGAGAAAATTATAAAATTCGGAAAAGACAACGCCGCCGGAAAACATATGGTCGCCGGTGTAAACAAATTGGGGTAATAAATATTTTAGCTCGGAAAATATCCGAAAGATATGTGATTTCACCGACTATTATTATTGTTCTCGGAATTTTCTCCCTTATTGCGGCGTCTCACGTTGTAAACAATCGTCCGTCGAGATTCGTGTCCACTTGCAGGAAAAATTGGCTAAATTTTTGCTGAAAATTTACTTTGGGCCCAGTAATTGGCGAATTGTTACAGCTTGTGCTGTGGAGTAAGTAAATTAGTTTGCATTTTTTTATTTCGAGACTGTCTCGAAGTATTTGCAAGTTGCGATATTTTTTGAAACCATAGGAATTTAAGAAAACATTCTGAATTAAAATTTAGACATTTTTGAAAAAATGTTTGAAAAAGTTAGGAATGATGAAGAAACTTTTTTGTTAAATGAAAATTATGAAATGTATCCAGAAATATGGAAAGTCAATTGCAAAGAATTTAAAAATAGAGAGAAAAAGCAAGGCGCATTAAATAACTTAAGAACACAATTGAATCGATAGGGACGAATGAATTTAAAGTACGTGAAATTCTTTAAAATTTCCATTAGCTGCATAACTCTACAGAACAAAACTTTTGATGTAATATAAGATTTTAAATGTAATTTTTTTAAATTTTGTTAAGATGGTCCCATAAATTTTTCTCTAATTTTTTTAACATTTTCTGAAACTTTCTGTTATTTATTGATAATAAATTTTGTTTTGGAAAACCTTCAGAGGGAGCTTCTAACTTCTCTGAGAGATCTTTGTATACCTATATTTTTTCGCTTTTTGCAATTTTTGTATATTTATTTTTTTTCACTGAATAATAGCTTTTGTTCAAACGAACTTGCTAAAATCCAGTCTATACACGCTGCCAAGTGGTTGACGGGAGGCTATAAAGTTTCGCTAAACAATTTGAAATATTTTTCTATAGCGATTTGAAATTTAATTTTTAAATTTTAGTTCATGTTTAGCACCATATTAGAGGCCAAATAAAGCTTGATATAAGGTCATAATTGATGATAAACTGCACTTTGCAAAACTTTCGCAAATTTGCCAAAATATTTCTGAAGTATGTGCCAAATTTTTAAAAATCCTCCTAACCTCTTAGTGTGAGACGTAATGGGAAGAATCACCCTGATATCTATCACGTTTTTGGCCGATAGACTAAATATAATTTAGTCTATATAGACGCGGAGATATTATATTGTAATGTTTTTGAAAGTGTCAATTTTATTAATAGTTGCGTTTTGATTTTAAGCGAAAAATCTTGTTTTTGCGTTTAAAATAAAAATAAAAATCAATAATTTTCATGGCGAATCAAAATACGAACAAGATTTGGGTTGATGCCACTGGATCGGATAATTACAAACCGGAAAATAGAAATTTAAGCTTTTTTTTGTTCTGACCATTTTATATCCTATAGTTTTATGCTTAGACACGTGATTTTAATATTTAGAAAAATTATTATCATAATTAAAAATTCTGTTTCGCCATTCTCAAATTTATTTTAGTTTTATTTCTTTTTTACGCTCTAGATATTACTTAGAACGTTTCGTTTCCAACTTCTGCTTTTTAAAAAGTTTTTGTTTTCTTTGTGATTAGAAAAAAGCAGGTCGGTAGTTAAACAATACATTGATAATGATACTCTCTCTAAATAAGGTCGCAATAGAACTAAAATATATACATAATGAAAAATAAACATTTATTCTATTCTGTACCCTGTAGACCGACGAAAATCTGGGCTCAGAAAACCGGTTTTGCGTTTGGATTTTGCTAATTTTTCTGCCTCGCGCACGCTTTTGAAGTTATGCCAAATATTTTACAGGGCAATTCTTCGCCAAAATTTCGAATTGTAAATTTTATGCCGCCACTGTGACTCACGAATTAAATTTTCGCGTTCTAATTTATACAATTTGATACGGGAAAAAGATTTCATAAATTTGAGGTAACATCGAAAAAGAAATATATTTGGTCTGCCAAATTCTTTTCACCAAATTTGTTTCGATTAACAGCATATCTATCAATTTGTATAAAACTGAAAAAAATAGAAATATTGCATTTTACATGCTGTGTGAATATTTATTTATAAAAGTGTTGAAATATAGTTTTACCAATCAATTTTCACCACAAACCATTTTTTCTATTTTTTGTTTAATTACACAACAAAAATATTAAGAGTTTGGACAAGATTTAAATTTAAAAAAAAATGATGCAAGACAAAAATAAAGTTGAATCCACAAAAACAGTAAAATCTTAAGCCCTAAGCTTTGCTTTTCCATAGCTAGTAATAAAGCTTTAATTATCTAAGATTTAATATTGATATTTTTGAAAAATGTTGTGTTATTTTGCTTAGCTGTTTTCTTTTTTAAAAAAATCGAATTTCAAAATTTACGATATAAATTTTTTTTATTTAAGTGACGTTTCAGGATGTAAAAGCTCTTTCGCATACTTTTTATCCACATTTTGACATTTAAATATCGCAAGTAATACTTACGGCAAGCGGCAACAGTTTCGAGCCACCACCAGTCAACCCCAAGACGCGTGAAATTTCCAGCACTTCTCGAAGGGTTAGATTTTCAAAATTGAATACGCGTTCGATATGAATTCCCCGTTTCGTCTGGAACACAAGAATGCTACGGACTTGACTGTGCACTGTCACAACCAGACGTCGTTATATACTTAGAACGCCGTCGTCATAGCGACGTCGGGACGCTGCCGGTGCTCGTGGTGGAACATGCGACGCCGCCATAACATATACATAAATAGACTCACCGAAAGCGCGGAATCCCCTGAGGAAGTACGTGTTTCAACATTGAAGCGTGTTAATTCATTTTTATCATTGATTTTGAAAAATTCATCCGCCAGTAAAATAGTGCGACGATTTTAAGGACAGGATTCTCATGTATCTCTCGTCATAGTAAAAGTTTGATGAACGATGGGGAATTCAATATTGATCATTTAGGAGGGGTAGCAGTGTTCTAAGTTCACTGGAATCTGTTTGAAATGAAAAAGAAAAAGCCACTATCAATAAAAATAGTTGCCGATTTCGATTAGATTCCAGTCAGAACCTGCTTTTTCGCCTCTTTTTGTACCGAAATCTACCTTAATTAAAAATGCAGATTTTAACTTTAAATCCGTCGTTCTGGGACAAATAATTAAATTTCCCGCTCAATTTCGAGCAGATTATAGTCAAAACTAGCATTTTCATAATTTAAAAACCCAGTTTCTTGAATTGATAGGTTTTGTTCTTCATTTCAAACAGATTCCAGTCCAAATCGGCTCTTCCGACACATACCGCATCCAACTTGCCTTAATCTTTACTTTCTGGATCCAATATTTGCCGTTTCTGGTCAATTTCGATTAGATTCCAGTCAAAATCGTTTTTTTTTTTGCAGATATATTGTGTGTAAAATGGCATCAAAATTGCAGACATTAGCTTTTCCTTAGCAATATCGACCACATACCAATCAAAATCTGCATTTTCGCCCATAGTAGGAGATACAAAAATTAAAGCAGTTCATTATGTACGAGTGGTCATTTTATGAGAGTTCTCACTAACAGAGGTTTTACTGTATTTGAGACCCGAGTTATCTATTGCTATCATTTCCAATATTTTGCTAATTCTCGTTAATATTACAATGTAGTATTTCAACATAAACTGAATACGTTTATGCCAACGGTGCAGATATTAAATTAAAATAATATTTTGCGTTCTTTCGCCATTATATTCGTGAAAATAATCTCACAATCTTACCAACATTACCTTTCCAGCAGAATTTTTTACACAATTTTTAAAAAGTTCGTTTGTCATGTCCTGATGGTAGTCTAATGAGCAATGTTTTTTGCTGAAAGTAGAAAATCGTTTGACACCCGATCTTCCCTCGAATCGCAGTGAGCAATGGATATTATTCTTTCTCTAGATGCAGGTGCGTTCAAAATGCGGTTCTTGAACCATTTTGCCACGGTTTCTTTGTAGTGCCATGCGTATCCAACGAATTCTCGTCTAAGTTCGTTTTTCTAAGAGAAATTGATGCATTTAGGTTAAATATTTTTGTCTCCATTCCACTAATCGTTTAATGCTACTACTTTTGTCAATATCTTTAATTCTAAATCCAATTTTGTGCCATGTTTCACGACTGCCAGTTTCGGTTCAGTTCAGTTCAAGTGTCGGAATTTAATTAATCTTAAACTGCATACAACTCCATGTGAATCCACTCTGCATCACCATTACTAAGGACTCTCAGTATGCCTTTGTCACATAGTGCAATATTGTTCATTCTGATTTTAGTTTCCTTCCTTCCTAGACAATCATTATCAAGGAATGGAGGCAAGGTTGACCTTGGAATACCAGTTAACTCCATTGTCCTCCCAATGGTAGCTCCCATGCAGACAATTTTTGCTTTAAGAAATATAAATTATCAGCGTATTTTTTTATTTGCTATGTTAAGTTTCAGGAATGTTGTGCAATTGTCCCGACTTCTAAACATAATAATGGCTTTAACACCACTAATTTTAATGGGCAAATTATTTTTAAATTCCTAAGGTGCCGACACTAGTAAAATAAAAATATCGTACTGATAAACTTTTGCAAATCGACTTTATATTGGTTTATTGCTCGGTTTATTGAGAGCGAACAAAGGCTTTCCGTTTATGATAAGCCAAGCATGTCATCACCATTTATCGTGTAATGGACTACATCTATCTCTAATTTAGTGAATAGTCGTTCGTCTGTCCTCTTTTAGTAGGTCTTCCATTACAGTAAGCTTATTTCTGCGTGGTTCGTCTTCTAGTGATGTTTTATCAGTTTCAAAACGTTCGTTCCACCGATAAACAGTAATTTTGGATTCTGTAGACTCATCATTCTTTGCAGACGCTGACACCTAAATCAGAATGAACAATATTGCACAAGATGGTTGTATGAACATGTTAATACTATAAATTCTACGTGATTTAATAATAGCACAATTCTCAGAACTTTGGAAACCTTCTTTGTATATCCTTCTATCAGAAGTGATAATAATAATAAATAGATTTAACCATCTTTCAATGACTAAACTATTAATGAAAAATTATTCACGTATTTTGTTGAAAATTCATCATCAGAAAGATATAAAAGTTTGCTTTTTATAAAATAAAAAATAATTTTTCCGTCGACAAATTTGTTTCAGTGTTTTTATAAAACATTTTATTCTACTCACAAATTTATGATGAAAAAAACTAATGAACAATAAACAAAAGCAATTTCTCTTAAAAATAACTCGAGGCTTAGTTGAATAAGTTAATAAAGTCAATTTAGATCAACCAAAGGTTAGCTTGTGTTCGTATGTAAATCGAAACCTTCCGAGGGGGTGTTATATGATTGTTGATTGCGTTATTAAGAAAAACAGTTGCGTGTTTCATTAATACGTCTCGCAAATAATTTCTGACAAGAAGAAATAAGATTTGAATAAGGGTTTTTTTTATTTACCACCGCTGCCAGGATGTTCCGTCCATAAGTTGATAGTTCTTCTATTTCTTCTATTTGTTAAGTGAACCTTTATTTTTATGCTAAATACTTGTACACCTATTGAATATAAAATCTGGCACGTTTCGACTTAAGGCAACCTACGTCATTTTGTTATCAAGATTGTGGATATTGGATATTATTCTATTAATTCGTTTTGACAAAAAACAAAGTAAAGTAAAGTAAAGTCTTATTTTTAAAATGAAACACTTTTCTGGATTCCTGGCAGGGCTTGATTAGGGAGTCAATAACTAAAATGTATTTAAAAAAAAGAAATCTAACATCCGATCTTAATAAAAACTACCATAAATAATAAAAAATTTAGCATATTGTCTTGCAATAATCCCAGAATTTGATAAATTCTGAGAGTTGCTGAGACCTCATTGGTGTCATCCTGGGCAGCGCCACAGATAAAATACAAAAAAAACAAGTTGGGGTGTTAGCATTTCAGCTATGGCAGATAAAATTGCACTAAAGTTCATGTCAATTTTACAAAAAGTCCAACAGTAAATTGTGTCATTTATGTAGTGTTTTTTTTGTCATGTTTCGCCGCCCTCCTCTTGGTCAATTAATAACCGTATCTACAACTTTTTACATCCTTATATAAAGTCCCTGTTTTCTTTTAGTGCTAAATGCTATAACATTATAAAAATGGCGTATTTTTATTTGAAAAAAAAAAGTTTTTCGTTGAAATTTTTAATGTTAATTTTATACCGGCCTGCGTATTCATTTTCAGCATAATCCACCAGAGCAGATTCTATAAGAAAATCAACCCCAAATAACTTGTGCAGATTTCAATTTTCTACGTCACTTTTGACATAATATTCAAGACTTCGATATAGAATATTGAAATATGTCTAGAATATTCCCAGAAATTAAAAAAGTTCCACATATACAGGGCGTTTTATTTAAAGTAACAAAGTTGTTACTTAAAATATCTACAGTGTGTTCGCGGAGAGGAAAAAAATATACATTATTAATATTAGAGCCAGTAAATATTTATAGGGAACAATTTTGTGGTATTTTTTAGAATAAGGGGAATTTCAGTTCAAGGTGCACGTGTTTTTTCTCAATCCTATTCAAAAGTCGAAGTTTATGATTTTACTGATGGTAACGATCGGCCTGGAGAACACTTGTCTATTAATTTATGACCGAAGACAAGGGTTCCTCTTAGGGCATGGTTTAAGTGGCTTTTGAAGTAGGTATTGAGTTAAACAGATGTTTGTTACTTTTTAGAAAACTGAATTTTAGGACTTTAGTATCGTTAAGGATTCGGCAGGCATCGAACGCCAATTTTTTCCGACGGGTTGTTTTTTACGAATTCGAGGCTTGGCTTGTTGAATTTATAACTTATCACTAATTATCTATCTTTGTTATTGTACATACTTTTTTACGTTTCTTGTTTTTTTACTAATTTGGCGAGTTTACTGAATTAAAGGGTTGTGTGTAAAAATACTGCCTTTTATTTCAACGAATCGACGTGTTGCTGAAACGGGTAGTTTTGGTGACGCGACATATTTTAGTGGCGACCGTGACAGAACAGTGACTTACCGTTTTAGTTTTGTTCGAAAAGTTCAGGTGAAAAGTGAAAGATTGTTTTAATTAGTGAGCGAAGCGATACTCAGCGAACTTTGCGAAAACAAACTTGATGTTTAGACAGTTTGTTATTGTTATTTAAATATGGAACAACTAAAGAAAAATCGCAAAGTACTACGCACTTTTTTCACGAAGGTAGCAAATGAGCTTTTAGATTTGCTATCTAAAACCGAAGTGGAACGTCGGCTAGTGCAGGTTTCTTGGAACATTCTCCAGCAAAAACATGAAAATCTCAAAAAACTGGATGAGGAGATTTACAATACGATGCTGGGAGAAGACGCTAGTGAAAAAGATTTGGTGACAGAGGCTGAAAGTAACGACACCTACGAATATAAGTTTTGTGATTTGTGTGTGCGCTGTGAGGAGTTTCTCAAGCCACCCGCGTTGGCTAACGAGGTGAGATCTAACCACTCATGTAGCGGTAAAAAAAAACAGCTATAGAGCAAGGTAAGCGTAAGTTTAAGTTACCGGTGCTAGAATTTAAAAAGTTTGATGGGACAATTAAAGACTGGCTTCCATTTTGGTCCCAATTTAAGAAAATTTTACGACGACCTTAATTTGGATTTAAGTGATAAGGTAGAATATTTAATCCAGGCCACAGTTCCGGGAAGCCGGGCA